CCCCCCAAGCGGCAGAAGCTCGTACTACATCCGGTTCGCCCTCTATTGACACAGTCTTGAAACTTTCCGATCGCACCTCGTAAATATGGAACGACAATGGCCAGCTTTTATGTGAACACCTGCAACAATCTTGGCTGAGCATGCCATAAGGTTAATTTTTAATTTCTTATACATGCAGTATATTTGCTTGAATAAACCTTATTGCACTCCAGTTCTTTACTGATTATTACGTCACAGTTTTCGTTGGCATTGTTGTGTTAGTTTATATTGCCGTCAACAATTGACTTGGAGAGAACTGAGCTTGTAGAATTGTGTCGTAGAAGAGAAACTTTTGTGCTGTTAAAAGTCTTTCACAATAACGAAATCATTAATAAATCTGTGATACTGCCCTCCACTTTCTCTATTTTATATCTGAATCAAGGTCTCTTACAATTGAACAAATTTTGAGGTAAGGCATTCTTATTAATTATTATAGCTCATCGTAGTTACAGGTTTTCATCTGCATTTGTGAACTCGTGTAAGAGAATTAGGCTTGTTTTATTTTTAACACAATTTCAAATATTATTACATCGACTTTTGTAAGTTTTGTCGTAATTTTTTTAAAATCGGTTCACCAGAGCAGAAGCTTCAAAGACTTTATAGATTGCATTGATATTTTATACTTAGAAGATTTAACTTTATGCGAGTAATGACAAACACGCGTCATGACTTAATATTGCCTAATTCAGTCACATCTTCAGGGTGATTAAGCCAAGAAGAGTGAGATGGGCTGGGCATGCGGAGCGCATGGATGGGGCGAGAGGTGTGCACCGAGTTTTTTTTGAATCCCTGAGGAAAAGAGACCGCTGGGGAGACCTAGACATAGATGGGAGGATAATCTGAGGCGGGATCAATTGGAGATAGGAGTTGAAGGAGATTGGATTTTGTTGGCCCAGGGCAGGGTCCGGTGGAGGGCTTTGGTTAGTTCGGTGATGAACCTTCGGGTTTCTTAAGCCATCTGGTTGGTTGGGTCCACTATTTGGAAAGCCTGAGGGGAAGAGACCTCTGGGGAGACCTAGACGTAGATGGAAGGATAATCTCAGGCGGGATCAATTGGAGATAGGAGTTGAAGGAGATTGGATTTTGTTGGCCCAGGGCAGGGTCCGGTGGAGGGCTTTGGTTAGTTCGGTGATGAACCTTCGGGTTTCTTAAGCCATCTGGTTGGTTGGGTCCGCTATTTGGAAAGCCTGAGGGGAAGAGACCTCTGGGGAAACCTAGACGTAGATGAATATAACAGTAGCCCAAGGTAATCAAATGTCTCGCCTTGTATGAACCATGAAGTTTCATGTCCGTGTTTACAAGACCCCGCCTCTACACCATATCCTCAGGCAGATGAAGTCAGTCCAAACCTTCATT